ATAATAATAATAATAATAATAATAATAATAATAATAATAATAATAATAATAATACTTTATTTCCGGTCACAGACCAAAACACAAGTACAACAAAAGAAGAACATGGGAAAATTAATCATGAACAATTGGTCACCAAAAACTTGACTAAGGGGAATTACAGCGTTCTCCACTGATGGTTACAGCTCTTAAAAAAAAATTGGAAACCTGAGAAGTGATGTATGAGGAGCCATCCCCGAGACAATATAAGAACAAATTACTGTACTAACATTGGGTCTAGAAGGGTCTGTTTCAAGGAGAGACAGTAACTTAGATCTGCCTGCATTATACATAGGGCATGCTCCACAGTTTCAACCTCAGCTCTATCACAGGGGCATAGCCGCTCGTTAATCGGGAGCCTTTTAAATCGCCCATCCAGTAGTGCTGAGGGCAAGACATTAAAGCGAGCTAGGGAGAAAGTTCTTCCATACTTGGGAATGGTTAGAGAGTAAAAATAGGAAGCCATCCTCAGTCCGTACATATAGAATATAGAAAACAAATATATGCCAAATTTTCTTTTATTTTGCTGAGCAGCAGTAGTTTAGTATTATAAATCTTAACTGATTTCTGGGAAATGTTTAGAAACTCTGTTTCTTATTCCTGAAGACTCTTTATTAATATCACTAATAAGAGAAATCAGAAAATGTATCCACTCAGTGAATTTAACCCAGTCACACACACACACACACACACACACACACACACACACACACTTTCAGTACATTGTATGTATGCATGTATGTATGATCTATCTAATCACACATGAAAAAAAAACTTGCTTAATTGGGATCACTTCAAAATTCTTGAAGAAATATGGAGGATTGTGAATTGATTTGTCCTTATATTTCAAGATCTTTTCATCCACAAAGCTATTTTTGTCCCAGGATTTTATTTACAATATAAATTTGTACAACTGATATTAACTACTGAATAAAAACACAGAGAAGTGAAAATTAGCTAAATAGGAATGTTAGATATTACCCAGTCAAGATTGTTTTATAAAAGCAAAGTTTAATGTGTAGTTTTATACCATTTAATACTATTTTAAATTTGAAAGGAATTAAATAACTTTATCGGGATAGCTGTTTTCTAACCAATCAAATTCTTGGTCCGTGTAGACCAAGGGTCTTCAAACTTGACAGCTTTAAGACTTGTGGACTTCAACTCCTAGAATTCCTCCTCCAGTCATGTTAGCTCAGGAATTCTGGGAGTTGAAGTCCACAAATCTTAAATTTGCCAAGTTTGAAGACCCTTGATGTAGGCTATTGCAGACTATCTGCAGATTTTCAAAATTTCAAGAGAAATACTCACTGAATATTAATCCAGTAAAAGTCTGTGTGACTATAGGTGTAATACTTTTTTTCCTGAACATTCAGAAATTAGGTCAGCTCTGTATTGTCAGGGGTGAACCACACATTTGTCCAGACAAGTTATCTTGAAAGAATTCCCTCTTCAATCAATTAGAATAAAATGAAGTTAATGTCTACTTTCACAGGAGTCACAGGAGCTGTGATTAGATAGAGAACACACTTTGATTTTTTGAGCAACTGTACAACTTGATATATTTATCATAATCGTCATATCAGGCAAAAGGTATAAAGTGGAGAAGTAAGATTAGTAAGATCCACGGACTTAAGCTTTGAACAGTAAATATGCTATAGAAGTAATTCAGACCCAACATAACACTACGCTGGTAGTAAGTATCTCATTGTAGATCAGTTGCTCTCAATATTACATGAGAAGGACAACAAGAAATGCTCTGGAGAAGTTAAAAGTCAGCTGTCCCAGAGACTTGTCAATGTTCAATTTCAAGCATTATTTATTGAAGTTCAGCAAGGAAATTATAATATAAACCCCACCGGCTAAAACTGTTTTGAAAACATCCCCCTCTGATTGTTTATTATTCTTCAGTATTCTTAGCTGAGAACAGAAATTTACTCATCAATAGGATTCATGAAGATTTCTTGCTTGAAGAGTTCAAAAACCTAAAGTGTAGCCATGCTATGCTGCTTTTAATTCTAAGCAAAAATGCTTCATCTTACTTCTGTTGGAATAATGCCTTTAATTTAAAAATATTAATTGTCCTTAACTTTTCAAATGAAAATTTTCTTTCTTTATCAGACCATATTTATCTGCTGACATTACACAATATAAATGAATTATATTATTCTCTTTCTCTCTTTTCTTACCCAAGCAACTTTATGACTAGACAATCCATTCCATTTCCTAGCATCATTAGGTTCTGTAAATTATATTCTGTCTTGTATTTTTCAGAAGACAATTAAAAATATAAAAAGACTGATACAGAGCTCAAAAGAACAATGTCATAGAATTTAGAAGCATTTTTAAAAGGAACATTTTAATGTGCTGAAATTTTGTGATTTCCTAATAGAACTTTTCAGTCAAGCTCTTTATGTTTGCAAAGAGCAACTGGTTGTAAAGTACTGAAACGAAAGTGAAGATCCTAAAAAGTAAAATGAATTAATTGATCTATTATTCTGTTGATAATTCTCCCAACAATTGCATGTGTGAAAATTTTCTGTTAAAACTCTTTTGATTCCAAATACTTACAATGTGCTTTCCCTATGCATGTATGTGTAAATCTCTCTTTGTGCATGTTTTTTTCTCTCTCCCCCCTCCCTCTCTCTCTCCCTGCCTACCCCAAACAATAATCTTTTTCATACGTCAACTGCTTAATTATACCTATTCATTCTTCTGAGCTTTGTTTATGTAAATTTGTAGTAACTAGTTCTTAAGTTCTTATGGTCAGTATTATGAGATTTTAAGCATTCTGAATGAGTAATGGAAAAAAATTATCTTGCTTTTTGTCCAAAAAAATTACCTATGGTAGAGATGTATTTCCTCAGCTTATAAACATGTATTATTAGAAAACATTGCACAAACGAATGTTTCCTTGCACATGATGAAATATTCTGAGGTTTTCAAATGGATAGGATAGAGTTGGATAAGATAATAGAGTTTGGGAGCAAGCCTTTGATTTCTCATTTTCATTGGATGTAACAATACTGTTTATTATATGGCAGTATGTAGAAATTGCAGAAAATTATCGGCCAGATGCTTGCTGCGTATATAGTTTTGTCATTCTATTGGGATTCCTACTTGTATGAAATATGTGTAACATGTAATGCAGTCCAATTTCTCTTCAAAGAAGATGTCATAATAAAACAGTTGATATTTTGAGAAAGTATAGTTTTATGTAAATGAGATCTACAAGCCAGTGACTCCCAGTTCAAATTCTGTATCTAAAATTATCTAAAAGTGCCCATATAGAGATGAAAATGCATTATATGAGTTAAATAGAGATAAAAAATAAAATTTGCATGGGTAAGATACCCCGTTCCCAAATTGTTTTGGAAACATTCATGATCTACCTGAATTCCAGAAACTCACACTGTTAAGTCATATTCAAGTCATTTAAGGGGAAATCTGGTCTGAATCATTTTGTGTTACTTTTAACAGCAGTATTTGCTTATGAATTCTGCTATAATTGGTACAAAACTATAGGATATTCTTATGTTTGAAAAATAGTTTAAAGTATAGAAACTAGAAGCTAAAAGACTTGTTTCTCGCAAAAGAATGTGTCAAATAAAGGTTTGGGGGTTTTGTTTTTTGTTTTTGCTTAATAGCACATTGTCAGCTATACATGAGCATTTATATTAATTCATATAGTCAATTTTGTATCTTGTCTTAAACATTCTGATGTGCTGTTTTATATTTTATTCTAGGACCATCAAACCATTTTAAGAGCTTGGGCAGTTAAAGATTTTGCTCCAAATTGTCCATTGTATGTTCAGATACTGAAGCCTGAAAATAAGTTTCACATTAAATTTGCAGGTAAGTCTGATAACTTATTGATTCTTGTTGAGATGTAGAATTGGATAATTTTTTCTGTTCTGATCAATGTCATTTAATGTTTTCTGCAGTAAGAATGGTGTGGGCAACATTCAGGCCAATTGTGGCTCACAAGTGTTAATTTATTCCCCGGCAACCTTAGATTACTCTACTCAGATTCAGTAAAACAAACAAACAAAATCGCTGAATCTCATAGTGCATTTTGTTTTGTTTTAATTCAAATTACCATTAAACCCACCCAAATATATCTTGTTTTGGCTTGCTTTCATTTTTGTACTTTTGCGTTTATCCCTTAAGGCCCTACAAATGGCCTGAAACTGATTATTAGAATCAGTAATTTTTATTAGCTGAAATCCTTTTCTGCTGGTTCACTTGAATATACCACAAAAACAGAATACCTATTGGAAATAAGGAAGGCTATCAACAGGTGAATGAACCCAGAGGGCGTTGCATTCAAACTCCAGCCAGAGTAGGGAGATATCAGTGCAAAGTTAGGCCAGACAGAAGGTGGTTTTTAATCATTTCTAACTCAGAAATTCCAGTGAGACCTCCAAAGAAGCATCTTCTCCTTTCTGCTGCAGGAAGCTTGGATTCATCACAAAAAAATCAACCTGCCAAATGTCAGCTCAGCTGTGGGCTTTGCCTTTTTAGGTTTTTAGAACAAAGTTGCAGGTAACCATTTTCACATTTGTTTGGAAAATGTAGATTAGACAGGTGAGAAGCAGAACTTTGAAGAATTAAGTTGCATCCTTAAATGTCATGTGTCCTCATTATATAACTTTTTTTTGCATTGGATTTGCATCCCTTACTACCCCTATATATGTCTCTGAGAATTCACAAACAGTTATGAAAGTGATTGAGATTGATTGATCAAATTTATATAGCCACCAATCTCACACATGATTCTGGGAAGTGCATGCAATGGTAGAGCATGCAATGAAAAACCCCAAACATTTAAAATAATTAAAAACCCAAAGCCAATTAAAATAGGTAAAACCATAACAGTAATAATAATAACAACCAAAACTATAGGAGAGTGAATGTTGAACATAATAAACACTGCAACTATTTAAATGGATTCCACAATTCCATGATGTCCAATGGTAAACCAAGTTTGAATGGGATTCTAAGAAGGGCAGCAGGGTTTGGACCAAACTAACTTTAGATGGAATGATGCAAATACTTGACTTGGTTTTTTTCCCATTCATTTTGTAAGACACATTGTCTTTAGAGCAACACACAAACATACACATCAACAAGCCTTCAAACAGGCTCACTTAATACTTGGGAGCAGGAGGAAAGCCAAGTTATTAATGCAGCACAAAAGCCATAATGGTCAGAAAAATCTAGTACTTGGTATTGCACAGAGCAGAAAAAGCACAAAAGGACACATTTCCTGGTTCCCATCAAATGACATTATTTAATCAAGGGGTCTAAAACCTTGCCAACTTTGTCTGAACTTGTGGGACAAGCAGACAGGGAATTCTGCAAATAATTCAGCTGTGTGCCATGAAAGGTTTTATATGGCAACCAGCCCCTTGAATTGCACCCAGAAAAGAACTGACAATGTAGTAAGCACAGTAGAGTAGTGCTCATTATACTGAGAAAGAGTCTTAACAAGAACATTGGGTCGACCAGAGGTCGAAGAATATAACTGATTATCATCAGTGTATGGATGTTATCTGACCCTATGGTGTTGGATGATCTCACTGGATGCACAACAACCTTTTAAAGATCAGACCACCTGCTCTTGGAGAATGAATTTACAACTGCCTGAACAATGTGAATCACACATTGTTTTTTGGAAAGTCTTGACTGAACAGGAGGTTTGTGCCCAAAATAAAACCAAGTTTCTCCAAGAAGAAATAAAGTGATAAATTTGGATCTAGACCATGCCAATTAAAATGCAGATAAGTGCTCACCTAATTAAATAATGTTTTCAGCAAAGCAAGAAAATGCATGTTTGGTAGTGGGGAAAAAGCTAGGCTATAAACAAATGACTTTCCACTTGTGTAGACAAATATTTATTTAGTATGAAAACACCTAACTCTATAATACCAAGTTTATGATTTCATGTAAGCCTGAAGAACTCTACTTTTAATTAACATAGTTATCATACCAATTTTATAATTAATATTACTGGAATATTTAGAAAAAAATAATGGATGAATCATCAATATACTTTGAAAATAATTTTGATTTCTCCAAGCATAGTTTGAAAACTATTGTTCTATCTTATTCCATGTAATTTTCTTTTTTCCATTAGAAATCCCTAAATGCTTTTGGGTTGTCCTTGGGTTGACATTTAATTTTCATTTTCTGCACCTGATCTAATCTGTGATGTCTTTTGCATATTGAATAATAAATATTAATGTTCTGTTATTTATTCAGCATAAAAGTGAAGTAGCTTTGTGTGCACCATATAAAGCTGGAAAGTGTTTTCTACAATATTTGTCTCTAAAGAAAGTATTTTGTTGAGCTGAAACTACTCTGCATGTATCAGATTGTAGTCTTGCAAGCCATTTTTATGAGCAAATAAAGGGGGAAGTTTGGCTTTTCTCCAAGAACACACGGCTTCAGTTTCATAATAACCTGTGCTCAAAATCTATCAAACACCCACAGTGTTTAATTAAAAGATTTCAAAATGGAATATAAATGAAAGAATATAAATCAATAAAATGATTGGACATTGGGTTTCTTGTGCTTGTATCTTAGATACCTCTAAACTTCAAGAAAGGTATAATAACTTACAATGGGAAAACCTACAAAACATATAGTGGCATATATTTTTAGATTTTTCTAGTCAAGAAGACCACTAGAAGCCCCACTAACTGAGATGGAAGACCAGGCAATATTACTAACCACTGCTACTTTATTAACTGTGTTCTACCACCTATCATATGAGCAAGCCCCTGGGATGCAATGGCCAGAGGGGTGATCCAACCCTTTACCTAACTTGAAAGTGGGGAGTTAGAATTGACAACCAGCTTTCACAATTACACATTACATAATCATCATTTTTTGATGATGCCCTGCTTTTTTTCTCTCTAAGAGGTCCCTGAGCTTGGTTGTTTCCTTGCAAACATTTCCTCACCCAAACCAGGTAACATCATCAGTGCTAGTAAGGAGTGGGACTTGCTCTCAGTTTATATATTAGTGGCTTGCCCTGTCAATGTTGATGGTGGTGGTTCCTAGCATTTCTTTGATTGAGCTGCTTACTGTTAGCTTGTTTGGCAGTTCTTTGATTTGGGTATTGTTTACTTGATTTTTGATCTGATGTTTATCTTGATCAAGTAAAAGATACAAATATTTCTTTAATTTCTTCTCTAATTAAGCAATATCTTTTGTCGAGAGCCCATAGACTGCAAAGAATACAGAGCTAAAATGAGCTGTGGTTATGAGACTTTTGTAATAGGGATTTAACTTTGAAGGTGGTTGATCAGCCCAGCTTCTCCTAGCCAGGTATTCTGTGGCATAGCAAGCAAATAAAAGCAGTTTGTGAGGTGACTATAATCCACTAGGACAACACAAGATACAGCTTTCTGTAACTTAACAGAAAACAGAAAATAAAAACATTGACCTTTTTTTCCTTAACTTAACAAGTAAAATTTATGTCTGAAATATGCTAGAGCCAAATAAATATTATCCAATTTGTATATTTTATTGTTTTAAGATTAATGGTTCATTACTTCCAGCTCAAGGAAAAGCCAAATCTGTTTGTCCTCTTGCTCCTGCTTCCCCTCATCCATTATGTTCTCATTTTGGTACAGATTCTGTAGATCCTTCTAGAAACCAGTAATCCAGCATTACAAATTACATTACAAACCAGCATTACAAATTCTCAGCCTGATTCAGCAACTTTATGCAAATCTGCCCTTTAAGATTAAGATTAAGATTTTCAGAAATGCCATTCCCTCTTAATTTAAATAGCAAAAAATATTACTCAGTCTTCTTCATGATGAGTTTCATTTCATCTGACCAACTTTGGTCAACTGTCACCACATACTTCAAATATAAAATTCTTTCAAGTATTTACCTATTAATTAACCAGGCAGATATGTAATTCAGGTAATGCTTTCCTTTCTTACAAGAATAATATTTGTGAAAGTTTAAAAATTTATGTAAATAGTTATGGTCTCAAGATTTTTGCCCTCTTTATTTTTGTGAAAGATACTTTCATGCAACCAAATCTGTCTCCAGTGGTAAGAAGGTCAATAATTCAGTGTTGTGTCAGGCTCCAAAAACCGAGAAAGACACATATCTGAAAACATCTAAGGAAGAGCTATCTTTACCCTCTTTCTCCCAACCAAACTATCACAACTCTCTTGGTGGTATCTCTTTCTTCTTTGGAATGTAGTCCCAACCTCCTGGGAATCCAGACTACATTCACCACACATTGTATTGATTCAGCATATTTAAGTCTCCCAAACATTTTTTTTCTTGCTGTGATCAGATTCAGAGCCTTTTCCTATGGCAACTGTTAAAAGAAGTAAAATTTCGTTCATAAGATCGGTTTTGCTCTCAATCTTCTCAGATAAGGAAATACACGTATAACTCTCCCATTTTATCAACCCTAGAAACTAAAGCAGAAAGACGTCATACATGACGCCAAGGTATAAAATTATAATGCCTTGCTAGCTGAAGTATAGAATTATTCAATAGGTCTTGCTGGATTCTTGAAGCTGTCTATTCTAAATTTGGCTTAGTAAAATGAGGAACTATACTCTGCTATGAAAGAGTTATGCCTTGTGGCTTAGATTCTAGCTGTTTCCCCCTTTACTTGGCATTCTGGATTGCTGGCCAGCTAGTATATAATATTTCTAGAAGACATCAAAAGACAGGATCCATATGCAATTTCCTGTAAATAAAGGTGTTACTATAAATTTAATTGCAGTATTATTCTTGTAAACTATTTCACATTCTCACTATAGCAGTGCTTTTAGACAGGACAGTAAAAGTTATCTTCCACATTAGCAAAAGCATATAATTCTTCTCTCAGATTTATTTTCTAAAACTATTTTTCAATCCCATCCAAGAATCTAAATTCTTAATTCAGTCAGGAAGTTTGTAGGGAAATACTGAAGTGAAAATAAGTGGAAGTTATCTACTCTAGAATGAATAAATCTTTGTGGTTCATGAATTGCACTAAATAAATGATTTATCTTTGTTGTTCATATTATTTTCCTTGTTACATTTTGCCAACATAAATCCATTTTGTTCAAAACTCATGAAATTTCCATTAAAAGCAACTGGATACCTGCAGTAAACTCTTTCACCCTTGTCAATTCTAATAAAATCCTGCATTTTATTATCATATTGATATGCTTACTCAAATGCTACAAAAGGAGCCAAGTCATTATTTTTGTCAAAAATTGACCAAGCAATGAAAATTCACAGAATAGTTTCAATGCAAGCTGTTTCCAAACTTACCACTCTTAAAATAGAAGTTTTTAAATGGTTGTGAAAGTGTCTTTGAGAATGAAACAAAATATGGTCAATTCTCCATCCTGTACTCAGGACATAGTATGGTCATTTCAAGCACTGTTTGGAGTGAGCTGACCTGTTCTAGGTGCCTCTCCATCCCTCCCTCCCTCCACCTCTCTCTCTACCTCCCTCCCTCCCTCTCCCTCTTCCCCCCCTCTCTGTCCCATTTCATGAGGAAGTGACTCTGGGTGGCATACAACAAAATGAAACAATATTTAAAACACCTAAGATTCACAAATATTAAGACAATTTTAAAAACTATAAAAACAGTTAAACAGGAATAATAGATGGAGGGATATATTAGTAGTAATGGCAGCATCTCACTAGTTCACCCTTCTGCTGGGGTCCCAGGCTTGATGGAATAACTATATTTTGAGGAAGCCTCTGAAACTTAGAGGCAATGAAATGTTACCTTCCTTTTTGTTGTTTCTATGCTTAAGTTTACCTTTTATTTTTAATATTGCTTTGCCCAATGAAATAGTATTGAGAAAAGAATTACTCTGATTTTGACTACAATTGGTAAAAAGAAGTTTAGGATCGTGGCAAATAACCAGTGACTTTGTAGAATTTACTACTGTCACTGCTTCTTCTATTGCAAGAATTGGTGTATATGTATCTGCTTGCCTACCTGACAATCCACATTTTTCTTTATCCTATTTTGATTCATATATACATTATTTGGGGATTGATTCTTAGTTTCAAAACAGTTGAATTAGGTAGATAATTAGAAAGAGAATGGGAGATTCCTCTTTCTCAGATTTCCTTTAAGCCCATTTAGAGTTTAAAGGGGCATTTATCTTCCCCCTATGCACTCTGGGTTTATTTCACATTCACTGGTTCACACATCATATTGGGGTAAGTCCCTGATTCATGTCATAAAGAGTAGCAACCCAAATGGAGGAGACTGGGTATTTTATGTTGGTACTTCCCCAGTCCCTCCATTAGATTCTGAGCAGTATCTGATTGATAGTCATAATGGATGGAGAACTCATGAGACACCTGGATGATTTTCCAGTTTCTGAGGAGCATCTCAGTATGATACTAAAAAAACCACTGGAGGTCTCTTTATTAGTCACTTATACTTGTGCATTTTAGTGAGAGTTGGCCATCACTTTTTCCTTATATTCCACCTTCAACTCTTCTGCTAACTGCCTAACTTCATACACATTTGATGATGTTGCTGGCTACCAATTATCAACCTGGCTGGATCAAATAGTATGCATTGGCTTTGAAACTGCACATCTCATTGAATATAGCAATAGCACTTAAATTATATACTGCCCCTTTACAGCACTTTTTGGGCAGTTTATAATGTCAGCATATTGCCCCCAACAATCTGGCTCATCATTTTACTGACCTCAGAAGGATGGAAGGCTGAGTCAACCTTGAGCCCCATCAGGATCAAACTGCAGGCTGTGGGCATTGTTTGCTGCAATACTGCATTCTAACCACTGCACCACCAGGTCTTCACCATATGCTGCATTTTCAAACAAATCTGAAAACTTCACATAGAAGAGCATGTTGAGGTTTTACACATTCATATGTACATTTAAGCTTAGCAAGATACCTTTTTGTGTTGGTTTGTATCTTCATATAGAAATGTTTCTGGTGTGTGTAAAATGCAAAGAAGGTCATATGTTAGCTTGGTTGTTTTGTTGAATTTTGTATCTTAGCATCCTGTGCAGGTTAGTCAGTAAATTAAAACAAACAAACTGAAATGGTACAAAAACAAAACAAAAAGCAGAAAAGATGAAAATAGCAATAAAACTGTGGAAAGAATTAAACTTCCAGGATGTTTTGTGTTTGTGTGTTTAATAGCTTTTGCTTAGCTTTTAAACCTCATCAGACTACTGATTTTTCCTGGGAATATATTCTAGGAGTGGAACATCATTGCTAGGAAGACATTTTACTATAATTTCCATCCTGTACACAAAAATAAGGGCGGTATAATATCACATTGTAGTACCTTTGTTTTCCACACTTTTCTGTTGTTTTTCAACAAATGAACAACAAATGAACTCACAGGCCAATTTAGTTTCTAAGATGCAAGCTGGTAATTCGTGCCTCAAATAAAAGTTGTTTTTCTCCTCCAACTCTTCCTCCTCTTCTGCAGATCATGTTGTATGTGAAGAGGAATTCAAATATGCAATGTTGGCTTTGAACTGTATTTGCCCAGCTACATCAACACTTATCACTTTATTAGTTCATACTTCAAGAGGACAGTAAGTATAACATTTATCTCATTGGATGGAGTGAATATGTGAAAGTGGGTGTTTTTTTGTTATTCCTTGAACAGGAAAGACTGTACATTGATCCTATCCATGACTTAAAAGTGGCCTTTGTCCATTGTCCACTGATTTCTCAATGTTTTGTGCTTTCTGCTCTTGTAAGCATAACAAACACAGGTGATTACTGGTAATTACAGGAAATAAAATATAGCACTTTTGGAGGTCAACTGATTAGGAAAGACTAGGTTAATTATTTTCAGAATTTAGAGATTATTTTCTCCTGTGCGCACTTTCCCAGCCTCTAATATTCAATACTTTACCTTGTATTCTTTCTTCTGAGAGATACAGTAGATAGCATAGCTTTTCTCTATTGGCACCCAATGTCGTTTTTGAAATCTTTACTCCATTTCACATGGTTATTATGGAATAAAAGATTCCTAAACTGGCTAGCAATGGAGAAAAAGCTGTGTTACATTCACTTAAATAGTATTTAAATTAGCTTTAATTAAATGCATCTATCTATGCATCCAATTAAATATATAGTATTAACATTGTCTACTGGCTTTGGTAAAAAATAAACATAATACAAGCTACTTTGTGTTTATTATTTTCTAAATATTCAGAAGGTTTGTAGCTAATCTCTTCTTAAAGATACTAAAATCAACATGTGATATCATATGTACCTTAACTATAGTTAAGACCAAGAAGAGAGATTTACTCCAGGAAGTAAAGTAAACTGAAGAGAAATTTGCCATATTATATAAATGCTCCCCCACCAAACCTATTAACTGTTCCTGCAAAATGATGTTATTTTTACAAATCTTTAATATCACACTCATTTTCTCAAAAAAAGATTTTTTTCGATCAAAGCAGCAGGTTGTTTTTATTATAATCTGAAAAAGTTGACTGCTGTTCATTGAAATGCCCTAAACCTCTAATTTGTACATCTTCGTAAAATCCTATTACTTACATTTTTGTTTCTTAACATTTGAATTCATCCTTCCTCCCTCAATCTCTGACCAAACCTTAAAAAGCTAGAGAGCAAGGAACAGCTGTAGCTTTCCATTATAAGAATACAAAAGATGTAGCTGATATATTTCTACCAGCCCTCCAGCTTCTAAAATAAAAGACTCTGTCAAGCCAAAGGTGTGAAGGGTAAAGTTATATAGCAGAGTACTTAATGAAGAACATACAAAAGTTGGAAATAAAAGCTACGAAAAAGCTAGAAATAAAAAATTGACATTAACCCATAAGGCTGTTTAGCTTCTGTGTGGGAGTTGTGTATACCCCAAGGTGGACACCTTGCCACAATACTGAGCCAGGCAAATATCAAGATGCTAAGAGTGTGCATGTTATTAGCAAGCTGAAAAGCAGCCTTGCTTGCCAGCTGAAAGTGGCAGAGGGAAAAATGGTACAGTAACTTCATTAGCATTACTATGCTCAGCCAATTATATGCAGAATTCAGAACATGAAAATCTAGGAATTTTCAGTAAATCAGTAAATCATATTCATTAACATAAGACTTTATATTAACATAAAAATATTGTTTCGATTGTCATTTAATTACTATTCTGTCTTAGTTTCAAATTGCATTTTATCTGTGTTTATTTGGAATGTAACAAAACAATTTCTGACCCTTTTTCCCATTGTGAACTTTTCAAATATTATTGCAAAATGTTTCAAAGGGCGAAAGGGTCAACTGCAGATGGCAATTAAAAACATGGTCTGTAATGAGGAGAATTTTTTTCCCCAGGCTGTGCTTTCTGTGATATGAGCAGACCAAAACTGAGTGCTTAAATATTGCTGCAGGATGCTATCTTTGCTGTGAGATTGAACATAGTTGGGCAAGAGACTATGGAGATTCTCAATTATGCAGGTCATGTCTGTGGAGATTCTCAATCATCTAGGTCAGGAGTGTCAAACTCAAGATGACATGTTGTCATGTGATGTATCACAACTTTTTCCCCCTTTCACTAAACCGGAGGTGGGCATGCTTCTATTCGATTCGATTCTATTCATGTTACATATATCTACCGCTTACACGAACAGACTGATGCTAACTGATTGTATATATCTCTTTTTCAGAGAGGGCCAACAGTCACCAGAACAGTGGCAGAAAATGTATGGGAGATGCTCAGGGAATGAAGTATATCACATTAACTTGGAGGAGAGTGTTTTTTTTGCTGAATATGAAGGAAAGAGTTTCACATACGCATCTTTCCATGCCCACAAAAAGTAGGTTTAGTTTCTTATAGTGAAATACAATCAAGATCCTTTTAGAAATTCCCCTTTTGAATGAAACTTTGACTTTGGGTTCCATTGATTAGAAAGGTTTGTTTTTATTGAAGTGGCTAGTATATATTAACGTAAAAGTAAAAAGCTGAGGCTGCAATATTATTACCATATTCTTTTGCACTAAAGAGTTGGTAATCAATGCTTTTCTTTCTTTTTCCCCTTTACCCTACATTTTCCCCCTTTCCTTCCCCCTTTCCCCAATAATTTCATTTACTTTTTTATTTTATAGCCTGATAAACTTTTGCTCCACTGGGTTTTCATAGTATTGTTTGGCTCAATGTAAGAAGACGAGCCTACAACTGAGGGGATATTAGATTGCCTCTGGATGTAGGCTGTAGAAGTAATCTTGATTAGTTAGGAATCTAAGGCTGTTAAGTTGACCTCTTTTCCCAAATTAAACATTAAAATGCAAAAACGAAGGAAGGTAGGAAGGAAAAAGCTCGAAGGATAAAAGGCTAGGATAGATGACTCATCAGTGAATTATCTTTCATTGGAAGCTAGAATTTTAGTGAAGGGAGCCCTCCATAATCCAGGAGATCCTTTCTTTGGAATGTTTTACAAAGTCGCTACATTTTCTAAAAGCAGAATAAAGCACATTGCTCTTGAGCTGAATTGTATACAGAGTCTTAAGCAGCTAAAATGGATCTAAAATATTTTCATGTTGTCCCTCTTGATTTTATTGTAACATGAGATGCGAAGGAATTGATATAAGCACATATACTGTATGCTGTTCAATTTTTCCTAACTAAGTTTCTTTTTATTTTTGACATTAGGTTTGGTGTTTGTTTAATCGGTGTTAGGAGGGAAGATAACAAAAATATTTGGCTGAACCCAGGTCCCCGGTATATTATGAGTGCTTCAGACATATGTTTTTATATTAACATCACAAAAGAAGAAAATTCTGCTTTTAAGCAACAAGAGCAGCATCGGAAAAATCACCCAACAAGGTTGTTTTATCATGGTCCTTCTCGGCTGCCAGTGCACAGCATAATTGCTAGTATGGGTAAGCTACACTGTGATGACCCGGGGTGTTGCTCAAAGGCAACACAGTCAGATAATCAATAAGAGTCCCTTTATTATCTCCAACTTTGCCTCCAATGTCCAGGTTACTTTCTGGCTGGAGAAAAACTCTTTCAGGAACAGCCTTTGACTGCAAGAAATTAAGTCCAAAACATGGTCAACACAAGCTGTAACTTAAAGTCCAAACAAGCCAAACTGAAGTAATTAGTGTGGCAGGGCAGGAGCAAGAATTTCAGACTTGAAGGCACAGCAAAACTCACACGGTTGGGAAGACACCAAGAATACAGATAAGCCACAACAACACAGGATAAAGTCACATTTGCTCCCAACAGCCTGCCACATGCAGCCTGCCTTTCTTATCAACTTTGTCTTCCCAGGTGTGGCTAATGATGAGAATCAAGGCCCTTTCCTCCCCCATAAGTCATGCAACCCACATTGCTCTCTTCTCCATTCCTCCCTGCGTGCCCTAGGATGAAGAGGGGGTGGGCCTGGTTCTTTCTCTGAATTCTCTCCTTTGTTCTACCTCTTCCCTGCTCTTCCCAGCCAAACTTTGCCCTTCCCCAGCCTCCTCCACAGCCAACGGAGCCACACTCCCATTCCCTGTCAGCTGTCTGGCTTCCTCCTCAGATTCAGACTCTGACAGGGGCATGACACACACTAAGTAATGTTGCCTCAGTAAAGGTAATGGTATATGGCAGGGCTGTCCAAACTTGGCAACTTTAAGACTTGTGGATTTCAGCTCCTAAAATTCTCCAGCCAGCATGAGGAATTCTGGGAGTTGAAATCCTCAAGTCTTAAAGTTGCCAAGTTTGAAGATCCCTGGTATGTGAAAAATACCTTGAGGGAGGGGGAGGGGAGGGGAAGAGATGCTGCCTAGGGAATGTTAAATAAGAGAGGATAATAGGCAGAAAAAGAGAGTCAGAAAGGAAGTTCTCTAACTTCTCAGGCTGTAAAAGAGACGGTAAGAAATTTGTACCTTCAGTCTTGCAAAATTATGTTAAGGTAGCCTTACAATAAAGCAGAATTAGTCCATCTGGTTGTATTTCCTGCCTGGTCTACCTGAGAAGGATGACAGTTTTAGAACTGAAATAAACTTAAAATACAAATTTTTAGTGTTCTTCAATTAATATACCCAATGAAGTAGAGTTGGGGAGAACAGTAGAAATGGAATACTGAAACTTCCATTTAAATAACCGAAATGGTGCTTGCTTTTCATTCCATCAGCCCAAGTTTCCATGTTACTGAATCAAATATTAAACTGATTTTATTGTTCACTCTCCCATTCTGAGGAATTCCTTCCTGATGAGCAGACACATTACAGAAAATGAAATCATAATTAAGGGGATTTTTCAGGCTTTGCAGTTACTAGCAAAATGAAGGAGATGTCAGCACATTGTCTATATTGCGGTAGGTTATTTCGCAAAGGATGGAGACAGAAGCAGTGAATAATCCTGTCAAAGGACACGTTTATTTGTATCCTTTTCCTTACTCATGGGAGATTTCTCTGAACAAGGATTAACTTGAAATATAACACAAATAAAATAGGGTTTACTTTTTCTCTTCTGGAATTACAGTCTCTCAGTAATAAACAGTCTTCTGTTACTTAAGCCACTCCCTGAGCTAAGGCATTTAACAATGACATATTGTCTCAAGGGAAAGTACTTAAGGGTAAGAGTGATAATCTTAATGTTGTTAATAATAATGTTGTTAAGGGATGAGGTTCAGTTACACATGTCTTGTGTAAGACTTCATTCTATTGTTGACCTATCTAACAGCCTGGTCAGTGAGATATTCCACTGACTTCACCCAGCATCAGTGTTTTTACTCATCCATCTCCATCTTGGTTTTTCCTTGCTTCTCTTCTTGGATGATTGTATGCTTGCTTCTCCAAGCAAGCTCTGTTTCTGGGAATTCTCCAGCTTATTCTTCTGTTTGTTGTCTCCCATACTCTGTCCTTCTTGGCTCTGGTGGTAGCTGCTCCCCTGACTGATCCAAGAAGTTTTTTGTTGCTGCTGTGTCAGTCTTTATGTGATGACCATTCAAGTGAGCTGAGAATGGGGGTCATAAAAGATAGAGGATGGAATTTGCAAACAAGCAGAAGGAACAAATGTTGTCAGTGGCAGGGGCCCAACAATGCCACCCCCTCCCTTCCAATATTGCTTGCCCACAGCCAATAATCTCCAGTCTCAGATGGTGCACTTCAGATAGCTCCAGCCCACCTGCAAGGCCTTGGAGACTCACTAAACTGGCAGCTGAGTATATCAGCAACTTCAAGGAAAAATAAAAGTCCTATACCTTGATCACCATATACTTTTCTTCTCATACATTTGATGGACTATGATTACTTCAAATATTTATTTAGGAATTTTTTAAATATTTTCAATACTAGTGCTATTAATAATAGGCAGCTTAGGTGCAATCCCAAAGCAACTGGAACACTATTTGAACACCATCGATTGACCAAATCACTATCAGTCAATTGCAATAAAACAGTATTGCTTAGAAAAAGCTTACATCATGTAATCATACTGAATATAGAATAATGGAGTTGGAAGGGACCTTGAAGGTCTTCTAGTCTAACCCTCTGCTTGAGCAGGAGACCCTGTAACATTCTGGACAAATATTCTTTTATTAAAAACTTACAGTGTTGGAGCACCCACAACTTTTGAAGGCAAGCCATTCCACTGATTAATTGTTTTTTCTCTCAGGAAATTTCTCCTTAATTCTAAGTTGGATCAATACTAGTGCTATTAATAATAGGCAGCTTAGGTGCAATCTGAATTCATATACTTGTCTTCCTTTTCCTTCCATTACCTATTTTCTTTCCTAGGCTCTTTGAACCTATCCATATGTCTCTTCTTCTCAGCAAAGGGTTTAAAAAAAAACAATAACAGTTTATCTACAGGGAAGCAGCTGTAAATAGATTTTTTTCCTGCCTATTAAAATGGCTCTTTTTTTGGAGAGCCATATGCTTAGCAATAGTTGGTCTGCCACAACATCCCACCCCGCCCGCATATCATACCACTCAGTCTAAGCCACAAGTATTGACTAGTTTTTGCTGCTATACTTGTTATAGTGTGGAAGGAGGAAAAACTCAGAAAGAACCCAATCACAAGCAACAAATCTAAGGTCCAATCACATTGTTTAAAAGAGGGTATATTTTTGTTCTGAATTTGAAACAAAACACTCAGATGGTTTTTTTTTGCTTCCAGCTCTAAATATTCAAAATAAACTTTGCATCCAGGTTTGTTAGCATTTCAAATCTTGTACATTCCTCCTTGCTAGGCTTTTTAATTTTCATGGTCACATCTCAATCAAACAGAATAGAGCTGGAAGGGACCTTGGAGGTCTTCTAATCCAACTTCTGCTCAAGCAGGAGACACTATATCATTTCAGATAGGTGGCTGTCCAGTCTTTAAAAAAAAAAAGTCCAGTGATGAAGCCCCTACAACTTCTGAAAACAAGCTGTTCTACTGGTTGATCCTCACTGTTGGGAAGTTTCTGGTTAATACCAGGTTGTTTCTCTTCCTTATTAGTTTCCATCCATTGTTTCTTGTCTTGCCTTCTGGACCTTTGGAAAATAAGTTGACCAGAGGTGATATTCAGCAGGTTCTGACTAGTTTTGGAGAACCGGTAGCAGAAATTTTGAGTAGTTCGGAGAACCAGTAGCGGAAATTTTGAGTAGTTTGAAATATCACTTCTGACTGGCCCCTCTCCATCTTTTCTCTGCCTCCCAAGTCCCAGCTGATCGGCTGGGTTTTCTTTTGTTGCCCTGCACAGGAGAAGGAAGCTGGAAAGCAGGTTAGTAGGGTGGGAATAGAGATTTTACAGCATCCTTCCCCTGGAGTGGGGTGGGAATGGAGATTTTACAGTATTCTTCCCCTGGATTGGGGTGGGAATGGAGATTTTACAGTATCCTTCCCCTGCCACGCCCACCAAGCCACGTCACACCCACCAAGCCATGCCCAGAGAACCAGTAGTAACAATTTTTGAATCCCATCACTGAAGTTGACCCCTTATTCTTTATGGAAGACCCACATGTCACCCTTAGTCCTTCTGGCCATACCCAATTCCTGCAACTGTTCTTCACATGTTTTTGTCTCCAGGCCTTTAATCATCTTAGTTGCTGTTCTTTGACCTTTTCCAAAGTCTCAACATCTTTTTTGTAATGTGGTAACCAAAAACTGGATGCAGTATTTATAAAGCGGTACAAATACTTCTCATCACAAATTTGATTTTAAGCCTCTGTTGATACAACCAAGGGTTGTATAAGCTTTTTTGGCTGCTGCTGTCCACTGCTGGCTCATGTTTAAATGATAGTACACTAGGACTCCAAGGTCCCTCTCACAGTTACTGTTTTTAAGCCAGGTTTCGCCTACTCTGTACTTATGCCTTTGGTTTTTCCTGGCTAGGTTAAAACCTTGCTTTTCTCCACATTAAATTACATGTTGTTGGATAGGGGACATTGTTCAAAAGTCTGTCAAGATCTTTTTGGATCCCAAGCTTTTTTTTTCTGGGGTGTTGGCTATTCCTGCCAGCTTAGTGTCATCTGCAAATTTGATGAGTTTCCCCTTCTATTCCCTCATCTAAGTCATTTATGAAGAGATGGAAGAGTACGTCATTTACAGTATGCTGATATGGCTCTCCCTCCTCCCTTCAAATCCTAAATCATTTTCATTTTCGTCTGTTTCCTTCTGCCCCCAGGTACCGTTGCTATAGATTTGCAAGATACAGGCTGTAGATCTCCAAATGCAGCTACATTAACTCTTCCTTCAGAAGCACCTAAAACGGGCAGAAGGCCAAGCATTGCACCTGTTCTGGAGGTTGCAGACACTTCGGCACTTCATAGCTGTGATATCTTAAATGATCAGTTCGAAGATGAAGCCACACCCTCTGATGAAGAAGTGTTGAATGGTCTGGAGTATGTAAAGTGCACTTTAAGTGAATATGTTTTTAAACACAACAATGCAGAAAAGGGAAATTAGTAGCTTGTTGCAGAGTTCATTTAAGACATCTCCAGATAGCTCCTGTCATGGTACCGAGTAGTGGTCCCAATCAATTCAAGATTTTGAGACTGTAGCTTTCTCAATAATCCATTTTATTGGGTACGTCATATCGGCACATTCACATGTAAATCCAACTCTAAATATTTCCCAGTATAATAAAAGATATAGGTATCACCCACCCACCCCTAGTGTCACTGGTCATGTTGACCAACCAGATAGATGGCAGACTACTCAGCTACTCCCTCCAGCTGTTATGAGCTCTCATTGAGACAACCTTGATTTGCACAGGTTTTATTGCTGTTATGTCTAGCACCTGGGAGGAAATTATTCCATCCCCATAGTTCCTCCCTCCGCCCATATGCATGGCAACTTAGAAACAAAGTAAAAAGAATATGGCTTCAGCTAAAGTCGTTTTGAGAGTTGATAGCCCCACAATATATACAAGTAGTCTCATTTAGCAACCACAATCATGATTAGCTGTTCAGTTGTTAAATGAAGGGGCCCCTAGTGAAACCGCGACTGTGCTTGTGATCTTAATTCAGTTTTTGCTTGCTTTACACTCCTGAAATGACCACAAATTTACTTTTTCATCATTGCCATAACTCTGAACAATTGCTAAACAAGGACTGCTTGTGCTTGAGTTAAAGTAGGCCTACGCAATCCGTAATGGGGAATGGACCACATTGATGAATTAAAAATCCCCTCATCAGCCGCAATCTGACACAGAAACCAGCTGTTTTCTGACTAGCAGAGCAGTGGCAACATCAGAGTGGCCACAGTGAATGTATTAATTTTTTTAAAAAAAAACACTGATGCCATATGTTGTGCAGACGTAGTCTGAAGGGTCTGATAGTAACAAGATGAAATTAAGAAACAATGAGAAACAGCAGCAAAGCCATATAATACTTTTATAGTTCACAATAAAGTAAAAAATAAAGGTTTCCCTTGTCCAGACATATCTAACTCTAAGGGACAATGCTCGTCTTTGTTTCTTAGCTGAGAGACCCGGCATTGGATGAAGATTCTTTCCATGGTCATGTGGCCAGCATGACTATATGCTGAGGTGCACAGAATTCTGTTACCTTCCCACCAAAAGTGGTATCTATTTATCTACTGACCTTTGCAGGCTTTCGAACTGCTAGGTGGGCAGAAGCTGGGGCAAGTAATAGGCGCTCACCCTGTCGTGCAGTGCTTGGGTCTCAAACCAAATGGACAGTTTTCTAGCTGACAAGCTCAGCATGACAAGCAAGCTGTGCCCTTGTGCCCCCTTTTACAATACATTCAGTTTACAGTATAAAATAATTCCGTTTTTACAGTGTATAACTGAAATTAAAATATAAAATGAAAAGACACTCAAATTCCATTCAGTTACATAGTACTTCATGACAACGACCAAGCACAGGTGCAATTGTATTGGAATCAGGGTAACTCTTATGCTGGTGTAAATACTGAATAAATTGTTTTGGTTTGACAAAGGATTCAGCAAAACGCCTCTAGAAATGTTGTTATTGGTGATCGTTTTCCAAGGCTCCTTTTACAGCCTCCCTTGGTGCTTGCAAAAGCAGAAGGGACTTCTGTGCATGTGCAAAAAATGCTGCTGTGTGCAGAAGCTTTTGCAAGTGCTGAGTGAACCTATGAGGTGATACCACACAACCCACAGGGAGACACACTAGGTTGCTTAAACCAGACCCTCCCACTTGATTTCAACGCTGTGACCTTTGCAACCCAAAGTGTCTCAATCAATGCAAAATAAGGCCACCTTAGGCGTTATATTATCATATATTTTTATTTATGTATCAGTTTTTTATGGCCACCCTTCTCGATAAAAGTGACTGGGTGGCGTACAATAAAGCCACAATTAAACCAGTTAAACCAGAGATCCTCAATCCCCAGTCCATGGACCACCACTGGTCCACGGCATGGCAGCAACTGGGCTGCACAAACAAGCAAAGCTCCATCCATGGGATGCAGACAGCATGCAAAACTACACCTCCTCCAGGAAAACCTCCATGGAACCAGTCCCCGATGCCCAAAAAGTTGGGGGCCACTGCCTTAAACAATAAGCATGGCTAAAAGCTAAATAAATAATCCTAGATCACACAATCGGAGATGTTATCATTAATGCAGCCACTTATTTAACTTATATAACTAGTAAGAGAACCAACCCTCATATTTGAGAATAGTGAGACTTTCTAGGAGTTACAGCAAAAAGGTACAATAAGTACTCCAAAAAGTAACAAGTTTATTACACACAGAGGGAGGTATAGACAAATACACACCATCCCTATTTGAGTCATGGCTGAACATTAGAAAGTTCAAGAGGAGAGAGATTTCACACCGAGAAACAACTGGCTGTTTAGAGAGACATTATGCTGCTTTAGAGTTACAGGATTTAATGTTAAGTATCTCTCAAGTGTCTGCTTAAAAAAGAGAAGTCGCTGTACGTGTCAGACAAAAGAAACAAAAGGAACGGGTGTGCATATGCTGTTGAATGCCAAAAATGAGATCAGACTCTTCTTTCTTTTAGGTATTTGAAAGGCTATCCCCCTTATTCACCTTACATAGGAAGTTCTCCTACTTTCTGCCATTTGCTCCATGAAAAAGTGCCATTTTGCTGCCTGAGATTAGATAAGGTATGTAGATACAATACTGCTGTGCATATATTTGTTTTAAGAGGAAAAGCACTTAAACCACATTTTTGAATGCAAAATTAATACTGAGTCACTTCAAGTTGTGGTTTTGTTCACCATTCTATTGGATAAATCAACCGTATGGCTGTAAAAACACTGTGGTCATATTAAATTTAAGAGAATAATCCACCCACATCCTAAAGTATTATTCCCGCTGAAATGGAATTTCATTTTAAAACTTGGGCTGGGTTCCAATTTCACTGACTGTTGTGAATAGAATTGCAATGTAAAGTACTCAAATGCTAGCTTTATTTTGTTTTTTTTTAAGCTTTTGTATGCTTATATACAGCTAAGCGTAGCCCAATTTTATTTCAGCATGAGGCGATGCAAGTTGAGAAAGGAAAATATTTTCTCATCTATGGTTCTCTTGTTTGGTACAGATAGTTCTCAACTTACAACCATTCAGTCAGCGAATTTTCAAAATTAGCAATGGTGCTGAAAAAAATGGACTTACAACTGGTCTGCGAAGTTATGGCTGTTACAGTGCCAGTATTGCATTGTATCATGATCAAAATATGTGCACTTGGCAGCCCACCTAACTTAAAACTGATGGGCACTTTAACTCTCCCCTATCTATGTCCTTTCATCCACCCTGAATAAGGACAATCCTTGGGGGAGTACTGAGGCTGAAATTCAAGTAAAACCTCTGAGCAGTCTCTATTTTAGTCCTAATGCTACTGCTACCACTGACAAATGTCTCCTCAAGCCTCATACTGTGGTCAGCTACTTCACTGCAAATCCTCCCATCCTGTACTTCATATAACCTGCCTCACACATCTTCTTCCTGCTGCTGAGGAGGACGTGCCTGGCCTGACTTTATGAAAGGGTACTGAGGCTTCCAGAAACAGTTCATTTTTTTTTTTTGTAGCCCCAGAGCTGGGGCATACCAAGAAGCCTCTGGGTCACAGTCTATTCTTGCACTCGTGCCAGACTAAAGCATCCCCACAACACATGTGCACCCTGTGCTGGGCCTCCCAGGGACTCTGCCAGCCCATTATGGCAGACCTGCACTTCTTACCTGTGACTTTCTCTTCTTCCTGCTTAAGGACTTGTGGGTCTGTAATTATGGCAATAAATAGGATTTCTGGGATTGTTGTCACCAAGCAATGTGGTTATCTGACATCATGATTTAGATCGCATCACTTAACAACAGAAATTCCAGTCCCAGTTATGGTTGTAAATCTAGGATTACCTGTATGCCAGATTATATAAACTTCCTATCCATTTCCAATCCCACCAGGCAAATATAAAACCAAATCTTCCATGTTTTTCAGGGGAGGCTTATTATAACGACAATGTATATAGCATGGAATTAGTGTATAGTACACACACGAGTATTTAAAATGTGAGGCTTTCCTTAAAGATGTAGCTAGTGAAGATTTAAATATATCTTAAATAATTAAAAGCTGGACATAAAATGCTACAAATACTTTCAATCTACTGTAGGTAAACTTTGAGGCATACCTATACTTTGAGGTATACTTTAAAAACATTTTTTGAGAAGAAAGAAAATTTTACAACAAACAGATGATAGCTATTGTACTATTATTTTTTCCTGTGACTTTTCTGGGGTCTGTTTTAATTAATTGATTTTAGGGATGCCAGCATAATTACTATGAAGATGCCAAAGCTTATGGATTTAAAAACAGAATCATTATAGTTGCTGCGGAGACTGCAGGAAATGGACTCTACAACTTTATTGTACCTCTCAGGGCTTATTACAGACCAAAGAAAGAACTCAATCCAATTGTGTTGCTGCTGGATAATCCGTAAGTAGAATGTTTGCTCTTTTATCTCAGAGGTACATATTTAGATTTGGAACTGGAACTTTGTATGTATTATGTATCATTGATAGCAAATTTAATAAACATGTTTTAATTCAGAAGGATTTCATCACCAATACTTGGAGACAGTCATTTATAGGAGAAATATCAAATTTTTTTTATGCATCAAAGATAGAAATACTCAGTATTTGAAATACCGAGATATAATTTTGCTACAGATAAATGACTTTGGATGCCATAGTATCAGGCAAAAAGAATCAGGATCATTCATGTAGGTTGCAATATAAACAATATTGAAGGTTATACACAAGAATCTGGTCAGCTAATGGTCAGTACTAAATTAGTGCTATATAAAGTCAATGGAATTCAGGAGTAGGGATGAGACTTAAGACTCTGAGAGGCTAAACTGATGACACGTTTTGCTCTATCCCCAGTTCCACCTCCTTTTCTCCTATACATACCATGTTTTCCTGAAAAATATGACCTGCCCCAAAAGTAAGCTGTACCTTGATTTTTACACTTGCTCCCAATATAAGCCCTACCCCCCAAAATAAGCCCTAGTTAAGACCTGCCCAATCCAGGTGGGGCGAGGTGCACGGATAAAAAATAACCTAGAATGGGGATGGGGGGGAGGTGGAACTGCCCTATTTACCAGGCTTTGCACACCCTGACACCTACCTTGCCTTGACAGCCCACTTCTGTGGCCGCTTGTCAGTGCTTGCGCGCTTTGCCCCCCCCCCCTCCATTTTGCCATCATCTGATATGGAACTCTGTTGCCAGCTGCAGAGACCTTTCCTGAAGGCCTCTGACGGTGACATGAGGCCGAGGGTGCCGTACACATCAGTCCAGAGCCTATTTCTCAGCTGCAGAGACCTTTTCTGCAGGCCTCTGACAGCAAAACAGCCAGGGGGCAACGTGCGCAAACCAGCAGCGGGCTCCTGCTAGGTGGGGCTGTTGATGCCTCTGCCACAAGGTGAGTCAGTGAAAGACACAACACACACACCGAAAATAAGACCAAAAAAAAACCACCGGGTCTTATTTTGGGGGAAATTTGTTTAGGTTAAGTAAGTTAAACAAAGTTTTCATATTATATTAGTACTATCCTCATCATACTACCACTACTACTATTTTACTTTAGTTGGAGGGATTTTGCCTCAATTATTTAAGTAACTTTCCAGGCTATGGGCTGTATGTACTTGCCTGTTGGTATTGGAAATAAGTTGTATTGAAGATGATTTTGTAAACAGCAAAAGATCATGATGCCATTTTCTTGAAAAAGAAATCTAATTTTGACATCACTGTAGCATGAAATCATAAAGAAAATCTGTAAAACTTTACCTGAATTGTTGGATCTTTAAAATATTCCAGTCAAGATTTTAAAAAATCTTTCTCTGCTACTCATCCATTCTTGGCAGACATCATGTCAATTTGTTTTTTTTAAATTTTGGACCAATAAATATATATTAACAATATGTCTCTAGTGAAAGTTATATCTGAACACTTCAAATGTGCCCAGTTGCTTCACATTTATTTTGGCATAGATTGGATTATCCTTTCTCTAGCACAAACCTCTGGCAATTTAAGTACCCAGAGAAAGTACAGGGTTAGGTTTTTATTTCTTATTCCAGAGGTGCAACGACTACAGCATATCACCATCTCTTTTGAAGTTCCTAGAGTAGTTATTGCCATGTTTTCAGTTCTTGCAATATACTTACCACATTCTTTAAAATCCCTGAAATGTCAAATAATGGATCCCTATTTTTGAAATGTAGCCCTTGCCGTGTACAAAACCTGGTATGAACCTGAATGTTGCTCATTCCTACTTTATGCCTTATAATGCAGAAAAGCCAACTACAGATGGTTCTCGACTTATGGCCAAAATTGGGAATGGAATTTCCATCATAAGTTGTCATTGTAAATTGTAAATTGAGTCATCAATTATTTTACTATAATTTTTATCATGGTTGTAAGTGCGAGTCCAGCCTTACCAATGGTAAGTTTTTCCAGAAACCAGCAAAAATCATAACAAATTGCAATCACGTGACCCCTAAATGCCACAACCTGTCCTAAATGGGGAGCCAATGTCAAGCACCCAAACTGCAAACACATGATCATAAATTTAAGTATATATTCTAACTGACTTTCAGAGGCCATCAATTCAAACTGTTGTTTAAGCAAACTGTGATTAGTCAAGGACTTCCCATATATAATCATTGGTATCTTGAATCTATCAACTCTTGTAGATGTTTCGGATCTCTCTTGTATAGGAGTTCTCCCTCTCTCTCTCTCCCTTCCTCCCTCTCTGTTTAATATTACATCTAAGTTTAACTGCAAATCTCATTGTGCACTGATATTTTTAAGGTAGAAGTATAGGGCCCTCTAGTGTTTAATTGAAATTTTAAGGCTCATATTTTAAATACTGTACATGAACTTTGATATATGATATGATTTCTCTATTATAGTTTTAATTGCATTTCATCATAGTTCCTTATGGCTTTTAGCTGTATTTCCTTTTTTTCTTTTTTGGAGGGAATTTATCAACACTTCCAGCACCAATTATTATGAGATCCAACATCCAGCATAACAAATATTTTAGGGATCATTTTTATGTTTGTAAGAAATACAGTTTACATCAGTGGTTCCCAACCTTTTTTTCGCCCCACACCCCTAAAGAAATTTCACTCGAACCTCGCACCCCCTGAAATTTAGACTTTAGGAACTACTGAACGCGTTAAATATATGGTAGGATTGAATCTTTTCAGCTATGTATGTGACGGCCACTAAATAACGATACTTAACTCTAAAATGAAAACAAAGTTAATCCATTGCATAATAAATAAAAATGCCAACATATAGCCAATATCCTATTATTTACCTGGACTTTTCTCGCACCCCCTGGAATATCATCTCGCACCCCCAGGGGGTGCGAGCACCCCAGGTTGGGAACCCCTGGTTTACATGTAAGCTCCTTAGTCATCCCCATAAGCGTAAGAAATATCTATTTGTGTGCCTCACTATTGCTTAAATGCCATGGAATTGGTACCATTGCATTCAGCTCTTTTTGCACTCACCATACTACAATGTATTTTGAGACAGGAAATACTTGTAAACTGTTATTTAAACTGTAAAGTAAACTTAATACAATTTTTAAAAGAAGAAAACATCCGTAATACCTCCCCATGCCAAATTGGGAGATAATGAGAAATCCAGTCCAGAAAACATGCATAATAGCTACTAAGCACAATAGACATCGCCTTCTTTGCCATAACCAAATTTGTATTTTTCAACCAGCTATACAATACCAAATGTAGCTTTTATTTGCATACGTACATTGTTCCAAATTGAAAACCAACTCCAAATGACTTTGGATATCTCACAACCATCAAACAAAGTTATTCCAGGTGGTCCTCTACTTATGAACACAATTGAGCCCAACATTTCTGTTGCTAAGCAGAAGATGATACACCGGGTGGACTTTGTTAAGTGAATGTTGCCCCATTTTACAACCCTTCTTGCCACTGTTGTTAAGTGGCTAACTGCAGTTGTTAAGTTAGTAACACGGTTGTTAAGTAAATCTGGCTTCCCCATTGACTTTGCTTATAAGAAGGCAGTAAAAAGCTGATCACATGACCCCAGGACACTTGCAACCGTCATGAATATGAATCAGTTACCAAGCAACCGAATTTTAATCGCGTGACCCTGGAGATGCTGCAACGGTCGTAAGTGTGAAAAATGGTCACAAGTAAATGGTCACAAGTAAGTGTGAAAAATGGTCACAAATAAACAAACTGTTATAATCAGGGACTTCCTGTAGATCAAAATCAATAAAAGATGGCAAGTGTGACAGACCAGATGAAATGAAAGATGAGGTCACACCCTCCCTCTCCAAGGGCAATAGCAGAATGGGGGGCCATCTTGATCTCGGGGAGCACCTCATTCCAGAACACCGGCACAGCTACAAGGAAGGCAGGCTTCAAGGGTCCTGATTGAAGGAATTAATGGAAGGAACCCAGAGGATGCCTATCCTGCAAGGCCAAAGTAGTCTGTCTGCTTACTTAAGGCAGAAATGTGCACATTGAATTGAATTCTTTATTGTCATTGTACGTGTATACACAGTATACATACAACGAAATTCACATAACACCCAGAAACCAGACTCAATATGCGCACACACATGACAATCTCCAAACACCTCCCCACCCACCAAAATTCTCCGCCTCCTAAAACACACAAGCATCCACACAACAGACCAAGTAATACTGTCCAACAGCTCATTGATGGTGGGCCTTAAGTTCATTGTTAAGTGCAATTATAGCTCTGGGATAAAAACTATTCAGAAAACATGTGATCCGAGTTTTAATTGTTCTGTATCTTCTGCCAGAAGGCAACAGTTCATAAAGATTGTAAGCAGGATGGGAAGAGTCTCTGAGAATGTTGTGCAAGTTCCTCAAACTGTGAGATGTGAAGATGTCATTCAGGGCTGAGGAGCTGGAGCCCAATGATATTCTGGGCAGTTTTAATGATTCTCTGTAGAGCTTTTTTGTCCGCTGCAGAGATGCTCCAATACCATACAAGAATGCCTTATGTCAGGACACTCTCTATGGTGCTGCAGTAGTAGGACAGAAGTAGATACTGAGATAGATTTATCTTCCTGAGCATTCTCAGGAAGTTCAGCCTCTTCTGTGCCTTCTTCACAAGCATGCTAGCATTCATAGTCCATGAGAGATCATCCAAGATATAAGTGCCCAGAAATTTAAAACTACCAACCCTCTCCACCTCCTGTACATCTCTCTTCCTCCTGAAGTCGTAACTTCGTTAGAGAAATTAGTTAAATAATTGCCAAATATATGAAGGGATTTTTCACACACACCAAAAAAAAAATGGTTCTCAATAGGTAAGAATGTCTCTAAAAATTTATCTGTTAGAAGAAATGTGTATGAGAAATCAAGCAGAGTTTTACATGCTGTAACATTTTTCAAACTAATGAAGAAACTGAAAAGGCAAACGTGGTTGTTGAAATGAATCATTAGCAATATTAGAGGATTTTTCCACTTTTTCCATTAAACTGTATTTAACATAATTACTACTAAATAATTTCCAGTACCCACACAATTTTTGTGATACTATCTTTCACTTTGTAAATATAATTTCATCTGCTATTTAGGCCAGATATGCATTTTCTGGATGCAATCTGTTGGTTTCCAATGGTTTACTACATGGTGGGCTCTATTGACAAGTAGGTAAAATGATTCTTGGTGCACTAAATATTGTAATGTATTGTAGTGTGCAGTACCATGTAGTTGCATGCTTTGATGTAGTGCTAGTGTTTTGAAGTTGTATAGTTGCATGCTTACTTATTCAACATACTGAACCTTTTATATTGCTTATTAAGTTTTCCTTTTTAAAAAGAGGCCTCTAGTTTTATAGATGGTAATCTATAGTTGAATTGATATGCAATTCAGTCTTCATTCATTTATTCGTTACATTTGTATATAGTAACTCTATGTTTGACAGTATATGTACACAGTAGGCACAATGGATCTGCTGAGATCAGCTCTCCATAAATGATTGAGTTAAGTAGACACTGGAGAACTATGTCTATGGAGATTCTCAATCATCCAAGTCATGGTTGTCCCAAAGTTGCTCTTCCAAAAGGCAGCTTTTTTTTGTTTTTTTCCTTGTTTCTTTTTCCCTTCAAGGAAAAAAACAACCAACCAAAGTCAAGTTGCCTTTTGGAAAAGCACCTTTGGGACCGGAAAACCACCTTTCTAAAAAACTTTAATTTGCACAAGAATTGGGCTGGGTTAATTCACTATTTTTCCACTTTCATCCACTTCTGAATTATTTCTAGAACCTGGTGATCCATTGTTTGGATGTGTAGTAAGGAATTCTCATCTCCAAGTCCTTATGCAAGGGTTAGGGTTAATTGATAAACCCTGTTTGTAAAATACTCAGCTAAAATGCATATTGGCTGTTCTCCTTGTGCATTAGTACAGTGCCCCCCCCCCCACTTTATGGGCACCAGGGACTGGTTCCATGTGGAGAGGTTTTTTTCTGTGGACTGAAGGGGGTATGGTTTTGCAAGCTGCCTGTATCCTGCAGATGGGGCTTTGCTTGTTTGTATGGACCGGTTCCTGGCATGCCAGTCCATGGACCGGGGGTTGGGGATCCCTGCATTAGGATATCCCCACCTCTACTCTGGTCTACCCAAACTGGAATTGCAGTTGCTACAAACAGTTAGAGCCCCCAATCCAACCTTTTGATTTTTTTTAAAAAAAACCTATTTTAAAACAAAAGTTTACACTTTAGCTGTACCAGCAGCTGCTATTTTAAGATAATGTAGAATTTATCATAAATCAAACAGGATGCTTCACTTTGAGGTACTCATTTCATTTTTATGATCCCGAAGAAGAAAAACTCTTCAATATATTGCCACTTGATTGCTGTTTATCCTATTTTCCTCAGAATTAACTTTGCATGCCTCAAACTTAAAGTATCTTTCTTGTTTTTGTTTATAATAGCCTGTAATAAATGTTTTTTTTAATTGTATCTTTTTGACTTTTCTCAAAGATGGGAAAGATACTATGTATGGTTGTTCTAATACTTTTTATTACAGAATATATTTGTACCCAACAGCTGTTTCATATATTACATGGCAACAAGCCAAAGTTTTAATTGGTTTATTTTACATTCAGCAGAGAACTCACTTTACTTTAGTACCTCCTCAAAGATCATTAGTATAAGAAAAGTGCCTCTTAACATATTTGATGCAACTCATAATTTATTTTATACATTTTAGATAAAACTGGGCACTCAAAGGATGTAATGCATAGAAAAATGTTTGAAACAATTTTGTTGATAATGAACAAAGCGAGAAAAGCAATGGGAGATATAGTTCAAAACACATTGTCACTTAAAAGAAATGCTTTTCCAATCCTCTACTTTCATAATGGCACTTTTAACAAAAAAGTTCCATATTATTCTTTTCTTTACCATACAGTCCCCAACCTTTTGGGGGCCTGGGACTGGTTTCATGGAAGACAAATTTTCAATGGACTGGGGTGGGGTGGGCAGGAAGAGCATGCAACCTAGATCCCTCACATGCTCAGTTTACAGCAAGATGTCTGTGGAGATTCTCAGTCATCCAGGTCATGGTTGTCCCAAAGGTGCTTTTTCAAGAGGCAACTGGACTTTCTGGTTTTCCTTGGAAGACATTTAGCTTCTTGGATGAAAAGCAAAACATCTGCAAAGAAAACACAGAAAGCCCAATTGCCTCTTGAAAAAGCACCTTTTACAGTATGGTTTGCACTCCTATGAGAATCTAATACCTGATGTTCTGAAATGGAGCTGAGGTATTGATGCTAGCATTGGGGAGTGGCAGCAAATACATATGAAGCTTCGCTTGCTCACCAGCCTCTCACCTCCAGTCTGGTTCCAAAGAGAAAACAGGAAGGTACTGGTCCATGGCCCGGGGGTCAGGGACCCCTGCTTTACCATCCTAAATGAGATACTACTATACAGTGTTATAACTCCTCCCTCAGATTGATAAATAGGAGGTGAGTTAATCCTGGAGAGAATATGTGTATAATTAATAGGTAGTCCTTAACTCATGCCCACAATTGAACGTCCATCGCTAAGCAATGCAGTTATTAAATTAGTCATATATGATTTCACAACCTTTTTTGCTGTGACTGTTAAGCGAATCTGGCTTTCCCATTGACTTTGTTTGTCTGAAACCCTCTGGAAATATCAAAGATGGTGATCATATAGCCCTGGGATGCTTCAACTGAAGTAAATACATGCTTTTTGTCAAATGCATGGGTCTTCAAACTTGGCAAGTTTAAGACCTGTGGACTTCAACTCCCAGAATTCCTGAGCTAACATGACAAGAGGAAGAAATCTGGGAGTTGAAGTCCACAAATCTGAAAACTTAAAGTTTGAAGACCCCTGGTCAAGTGCCTAAAATTTGATCATATAACTATAAGGACACTGCAAAGGTTGTAAGTGCCAGGACTGGCTGTAAGTCACTTTTTTCAGTGGCATCATAATTTTGAACAGAAGTTAAATGAAAGGTCGTAAATCTAGGATTCCCTGTAATAGATAAATATAATTTCATCGAAGTGAAAATATATGTAGAATGAAATAATAAAAGATATCAACTGGCTGTAGTGATCAAGAATAGATGGTCTATGATAGTAGGAATCTGCTTTCTCTACCAAATATGTCCCCCGAGTCAAGAAGCTTTAATTATACCATGCCTTGCCTGGGTTATGTTATATGAACTATTTCTACATTTTGTCTTCCTCCTTTGATGCAGATTAATACTGCATAGAAAAATCATTTCATCATAACTATTTAGAATGGAGTTTAATTAAGCTCTTAGGAAATACGATTTTTTGATTTAAAATAAACTTTTAATATAAATTCTCAAGCATGTAAATGTTTCACCCTTCATTGTTATTAGCAGGTTTAGTCACTTCTGTTTATTGATCATATTATTGTCCAGAAGGTAATTCAGTTATCAGTAGAATTACTGAGCAATTAAATCCACAACAAATTATAACATTCTTTTGCACAATTTCTCCTTCCTTCTTTAAGTAATTATTTTTTCTTCCTCACTTACCTATGGTTATATAGTTTATAACACGCTCTATCATTAACATTCACATTTAATAAAAACTTGTAAATAATAATAGTAAATGTCAGAGCTTCATTTAAAGGAAACCTAAGGTTGTACTTATCTGGTACTAAATTACATTAACAGTTTACTTTCATTAGCAATGAACAAAACCTAACTTTTAACTATAAACAAATGTAGATAAAATTAATTGCAGTTACTCATGGGCTTGAGAACTGAATTCTTTCTGAGAGGAGAAGAACAAACATGCATACTCAAAGCTCCTGCTTTGTTCATTACAAATAAAATGGAACCAGAATTTGATATCTGCTCATCTTTTCAAACTACATCATTTTGGGGAACAAGTTAAGCAGTTTGAAAACATGGTATTCATTTGTCCATTTGTCTCTATTTATTCATTCCTACAAATTATAAGAAAAAAATACCCTCTACATAAAAAAGGCTATGGCATGCCAAGAGGTAATATGGGATGAGCCCTGTCAATTGTAAGATACTGTAGAGAAGATAAAATCTATCCCAGAAGCTACTAAGAATAAGTTTATGATTACAATTTAGTCACAATTACTTTATTTTATATAACACTGTGCATTTGGCAGAATATATGGCTAACTTGTTATGATCAATATATATTTGACTTCATGTAACTTTTTGTCCTGTTGCAAAAGTCTAGATGATTTGCTAAAATGTGGTGTGACATTTGCTGCCAATATGGTTGTGGTGGACAAGGAAAGCACAATGAGTGCTGAAGAAGAATACATGGCAGATGCTAAGACAATTGTAAATGTACAAACCCTCTTTAGGTAAGTGGCTGTTCAATTATTTACTTCCTATGTTTCTATGGAAATGCACTGTTCCATTTACATTCCATGAAAATATATAATTTCAATAATATAAATAGATTTGATCATATCAGATTTATTAGTGACATTAGTGACTAACATGTCCATAAAATCTTTCACTTGAAAGGGTTCTATTGGCTATCAAATGTTATGAGTGAAATCCTGTTTCTGATGATCTTTGATGCTCCATCTCCATGGACCATATAAATATTCACTAGGTAAACAATATTTTGGGGTATTTTGCCTAGTAATCCTACAAGTGAATGGTTATCAAATAATACATTACTATATTGTATTTAACCTCTTGGTAATCTGTGTGGTTAAGTCACAGTGAAGCAGATGTCCATTGCTAATTAATTATATTGTGTAGGTTGCTTTGAATAAGTTTCTGGTTACTCAGTAATCCTTTTGTTGCTCATCAAAGAACATAACCTGATTAGTTTTGATCTATATGCCATGCCTAACTTCTGCAGCAGTGAGGAATTTCTTATAAACTGAGCTTTTATAAAGCCAATTCTATTGGAACAATATAGATCAGGGGAGTTTGATATAGATCAAACTCAAGGCCCAGAGGCCGAATCTGGCCCACAATGTGGTCAAATCTGACCTGCAGGGCTGTCCTGGAAAATGTAAGAGGCCGGCCCACGTCACTTCAGCCTGGTCTACCTGCTTTGTGTTGGCACAGTCTACCCAATGCGAAGAGGAAACATGCCATCAGTTTGGGGAGTGGGGTCAATCTGGCCACGCCCACCAAGTTAGCCACGCCTACCCGGCCCTCTGAGCTAAACCACAGCCCTGATGCGTCCTTCAATGAAATTGAGTTTGACGCCCCTGATGAAGATGAAGAACAGGTTTAGGAATTCTCAAGATGCAGAAATAAAACTATAGTTAATAACCAAACCATTTATCAACTCATATTTGGAATGATGAAATAAAAAAATCAAATAACAACAGAAATAATTTATGAAAAATTAGAATATTATTCAGTTCATTGAGAAAATAGCAAAACATTCTGAGACAAGAGTGTTCTGTTTGATGGGAAAAAAGAGGGAAGTTGAAACAGTGTCATACGGAATTCAGTACATTTAAAGAATGATAGAAAAATTGGAAAGTTTGAAGAAAGCATTTCTTGTGCACAATTATGAAAGTGGAAGGCAGGAAGATTCTGGGAATAGCAAAGGAAGCCAGCAATTTGGATTTATGAGATGCAACATTCACTTACGCATACTTACACACAAATGTATGCTAAGGGGTGGTACCTTTGGATAGATGCTACTTTGTTTAGGAAGGGAAAATAAGAGAAGCATGCTGGATTTTAAAAAAGCAGTGGGGGAAGAAAATTCCCTTTCTCCCCTCAAAAGTTTGGGTCATGAAGATCATTGTTAGACGACTCCTCAAACATTGGAAAGAAAGGAAGATATATAGAAGGTCCTTATCAATAATTTGTTTATTGGACATTACTTGTTTGGGAGAAGTGAGCTGCATGATCATTTGTAAAGAAGGATAGTTTGAGCCTGAAACGCCCAAAGAAATGCCCAGGTCTTTCAGATTATAAATCTGTCATCTGTATAGGTACATTTTCCCCAAGAACAATTTTGGAGGGCATAAGTTGTTTGTTGAGGCCAATCAAGCAATTTATGTCCCTCTTCCAGTATGGTTGGGTTTATGCAATGGTGTTAGCTTCCTTGATGGAGGGAGGGAGTGGCTTGGCTGGCCTTACAGGAGATAATGTTCCACTTTCTCCTCCAAGAAGCTGTTACTGGACTCAAATGGACAACACTCATCCAGATTCTTTTCTTCCAAAGAAGGTGGTCGGGCTGTGGTTGCATGTGCCTTGGAGGAAATGCCTTACTTGGAGTATTTCAGTTGGGTTTCATACCAACCACACTGGAGCAGATTAGGAAATCAATTCTGCATGAGTCTGATTAACATTCATATCTTTGCCTATTTTTTATCTATAACAATTCAGTGGCATGTGCATCTGTTTTTCTTCCTGTGTTACCCTGAGTTAAGTTAGGGATTATTGCTACCATCATTATCTGATTGTCTTTTCGTCTCCTTCTTCTTTCTCTGTTTTAATTAATCAAATTCTTGCTGTTTCTTCAACATTTCTCTATTGGTATTGGCCCAATTATTTGAGCCTAGTCCCATTTCTAGCTGGTCTACATTCTTCTTTGGTTTAACACAGGCATAGGGTGGATACCTGTCTCAACTACAGTAGAAGTTGTGTCTTCTACGGAAGAATCTAACAACTTTTCTATGTCTGTTTGGGTGGTGCAGGCTCTAGTTAATTTTCATAAGGGACCACATGAGAAGCCAGGACTGTTGTGAAGGGTCACTGCTGCTTCCAGCCCAACCACTACTGCCAACTCTGCACTGAAGCCCCATCCTCCACCAACACTGTCCCTCCTTTTCCACTGATGCCCTGTCCCTACCTCCAATGCCATCCTGCTGATGCCCCAGCCACAACACCAACATTGCCAACCCTGTGGGACAGACTGGGACTACTCACAGTCCGGTTGTGGTGTGTGATGCATAAAATGCCCAGGTCTTCTCTAGTTCATTAACATATATGTCTTTTTTACATCTTTTTTCTATAAAAATGTCCTCTATACTTATTAAGAAGGACTTTCATCTGGGGGATGCTTTTTCCATTAGCATTTACTTCCACCTACTTTATTCACACAGCCTCTAAGCATCCAGCAAAATTTTCTTCAGATTCCTTGATCCTCCCCCCCCACAAAAAAAAAAAAATTGAGAAAAGATTCTACTTGAAATTTGTTCCCAAAAGTAGCCATATATATGCAGCATGACTTAAGCCTAGGTTCTTCATCTGTAACTTGGAATATTAATAGTGATAAAAACCCTCATCACGGAATCTGAACGTTAGTGGTAAAATTCTTGCTTTCATATTATAGTGTCTACAATTACTTCACCTCTATTTTTTTCTATCCAAAGGAAAAAAAATCCTTCTAGCAGTTTATTTGCAGTTATTTGCAGTTCAAATAACTCTTTTTCTTCTTAATTTAACACTAATTTTCACATCACTAGAGAAATATCCAACAGATACTGTAAAAATGTAATTTAAAGCTTACTTTCACAATTCAGAAAAGGTACTTGAATAGCTAATAAAAATTGCATATCCTTAATGTAAAAACATTTGCAAGTGTGATTACTTTGTAATGAAATTGTAAGTTTGGATTATTCCTACTTTAACTATAGCATACAACCACAAGGTGGCAGACTTTCTACATGTACTGGCAACTACACAAAATGTAGAAAAATGTAGGGATTTTCCTTGTACTAAGAAAAGAAACAGGTAAAAACTAAAGATTTCAGTTCAAGTTTGGCATAGTAAATATAGTTCACACACTATTAGAAAAACAAATGTTAGCAATTTTGAAGTGTAAGGATCTAGCCAACATCAAAAATTTAGAAAGATGGAACTTTAATATGCAAAAATTTACAGAATCAAATATTAAAATACTCTGTTTAAACAGTCTCTTTTTCATAGCTTAGAAATCACATATTGGCAAACTGCCTGTGTTTCCACAAAAATAAGACCGGGTCTTATTTTCTTTGGGACCCCAATATAAGCACTAGGGCTTATTTTCAGGGAGTGAGGTTTTTTTCATGTATGGGAGGCCCACTTCTTTTGCTTGCTTGAGATGGGGCAGGAGACCATGTGGTGTACCAGTGCCTCTACCATGAGGCAGGGGGCAAAAGAGCTGCCCCATGAGCTCTGCACTGGCTTGCCTCAAGGTCCCCGCAGTCAGGCCACCCATGCCTCAACAACTGCCTTGCCTTCCAGTGGCAACTCCAGCAGCTCCATCCAGCAGGACCCCATGTGGCTGCCAGCCCACTTCTTCTGCTTGCTCACTGGTGCCGTGAGATGTGGTGGTGGAGCTGCCCCACGCGCCCTGCAGCAGCTTACCTCAGGGCCCCTGCAGCCAGACCATCCACACCCTGGACACCTTTCTTGCCTCATGGCCATGGCACCACAACACCACTTGGCCTCCTGCTCCATTGTAGTTGCGAGCATGCAGAAAAAGTGAGCTGGCAGCCACATGGGCTCCTGATGCACCTGCTACTGTTGCTGCTGTTGTCAGGCAGGTGTCTGGGCATGGATGGCCTGGCTGCAGGGACTCTGAGGTAAGGTGGTGTGGGCTGCATAGGGCAGCTCCACCATTACCCCACCTCATAGCTGTGGCACTGCTAGCAACCAGATGTAATGGGGAGGCGGGCAGTTGTGCAGGTCCCTTAGTTTGGGGGTAGGGCTTATATTAGGCACACGTGTAAAACATCCTCGGGCTTATTTTCTGGATAGGTTTTATTTTCAGAGAAACAGGGTAAATGTCAAAATAATTTGATATGCAAAATTGATTTTTAGAAAAGCATTATTTTAAGGAGTGTTGCTAATTTCCTGTATTTTGAGCTGTTTATTCTGGCTTGTTTAATTAAAATAAACTATATAATTAAGGATAATCTCATAATAATGTCATTGTGGAGAGTGACTTCATCAGATCCCAAGAACAACATGAGATCTCTCTGTCCAGAAGAGTGAAGTGCTAGTAGTAGCGAGGACACTGCACAGAACCCTCAAACTCCCAGGCCTCTGGAAGAGGAACCGAGATTGAAGAATACACATTTAAAAAGGAAATCAATTCTAAAGATGACAAATTTAAACAACATCATGAAAAATAAGAGCATTTCATTTGATAACAAAGATCTAAGCAATTAAATAAATTACCTTTCCAGTTGTGAGGCAGAGCTGTGAAAAAGTGAGAGAAATAAGGTATTATAGATTTTGAGATAGTTTGTGAAAGAACCATGGACTGAAGAACACTCAATAAGTCTGAGATCACATTAAGGCTGATTTCTTCCTTGAAACAATTATGAGCATGCAAAAACTCATTTACTTTGGGCATATTGTACAAGCAGATAGTTATATATTTTATTCATTTATTTACATTTATTGGGCACTAGATCCAGTTCTCTTTCTCCCTCCCTCCCCTTTCCTCCCTCTCTCCCTTCCTCTCTCCTGAATGAGTGAGTGAGTGAGTGAAAATGAGTAAGAAGGATGAATGGGATCAAAGAGATTATAGAAACTGTTTTTGTAAGAATTGGAAACTATGACTAAAATAGTTAAATATTTGATTGTATGCTGCCCAAAGATTGGATTTTGTGTTGCAGTTTGGTTGATCATATAAATATGATAACATAAATTAAGATAATCAGCAAGAATCAACATTAACTAAGGGGGCACCTAACTAATTAGCTAAAGGTAGATTCAGTTACCCATGTGAACAAAATCATAAACAGCATCAACGAATAACCATTAGGTAAAATTACCTTTCGCATGTTACATTGTATTTGGAAATATCTTGGGTCCAGCAAATTTAATCCCAAGTAAGTATGTAAATAATTCCATTCTATTCCCATTTAGCTTTTCAAACTTCTTATTAGCCATGTGCTCCTACAAATATATATGTAACAAGGCAGATGATCTGATACTTTTCTTGCTCTTTTATATATGATACTTGCAAAATCTGTTCGTTTTTTACTTTTAAAATCCACAAGAGTGCAGTCTTGGCTAATAAACTATAGTTTATTTATTACAGTTGTACTGATTTAGTGTGATAGAGACTACTCATTATTATCACTGTTACAGTTAATGTTAGATATGGGCTAGATTGAAGAGGCGGGACAATGGTAGAAGGAAAGGAATTCTTTATTTAGCTCTGAACAAAAGACTGCCGCCCGGTGTGCCTGCTGTTCTTTTTACAGGCTGCTGTCCACAATTTCAGCCACTGACAGCTGTTCATTTTCCCGCCTGGAAAATGAACCAATGGGGGAAGTCTGACATCACTGACGTTTCCCCATTGAATATCTAACAGTTAATAATTACACAAATAAGATTTGTGTGTTAAGAATGCTGAATTGAATGCCTGGATTATTCTTTTCATTTTTTTTACTATGTTGGGCTTTCAGTGTCCATATTAAGAAAATATCTCAGTTATCATAATCAAGCCAATAGTCCCAAAACACAGAAGCTTGTCCTCAGCTTCAAAAATAGTGGCAATGGCCTGGGAACCTAAATAGCAAATTCTTGTAACGCCAGTTTTCTTATGATCATCTCAGTTAGCATTTCACTTTCGAGAAAAGGATTTATTTTAGACATTCCAAATCCATGCTCCTTCAAGAAAAAAGCAAATGTATCATTTTAGAAATGTTGTTGAATTCTCTTTCAGTATCCTCATTTTGCTATAAACTTGTTTTGTAAAGAAGATGTTACTATTTAGGGAGCGACTTATAATTTTCATGGGTAATTATATTATACAAAGGGAATACGTATATTCCCCAATATATATCTGGGGAATATGTATTCCATTTGGGGAACAGACCAAATAGAAAATAGAATACAAGGAACTGAATATGCATTTCTTTAATCAAATTAATTGCTCCTTTTTCTCACAACATCTTCTTCCCCGTTACAAAACCTTACTTTCATCTCCTGTACATAAGGATTAAGAATATTTCCCAAAGACCTTATCATCTGAACTTTGATACAAATACTTTTTAAATGTCTTTAGATAATGAACAAAACTTCTCAATGAATGTTAATGCAAAGTTCTGACCGATTCTTGCCTAGAAGGCTAATGTTTTCAAAATGCATAATTCTCAAAAGTTAAATTCTCAACACAGTTATAAAGTTATACATTGGTAAAAGTATTTTATAGCCCATTCAGACAACTTAATGTATATATTAGTTCCTCTGTATTTTCATTGTTGTTTGCAGTTGTTTGGAAACAAGTTATTCATCACTGTTACAGTAATTACTAATGAAGTATTTATCTGTCGAAGTGTTAATACATGTTATATGTTTTAACATAATGGAATGGGCACTCTGAAACTCTGCAGGACATTTATCCCATTATAGGAATTAATTAGCTTCCACCAACAGGTGGCATTTTTCAGGAGGGGTTAGAAGAAAAATGACAGAATTTGAAATAGTCATACAGAATCACGGGCATGTGACACAGAGATTGAACAAATCAAAAATTGGATGATAAATTGATTGCAAATGCAATAAAGGGAAAAACTGTGGAACAAATCTTTACAACTTACACTGGCTAATATTTAAGAGAAAACTGGTATAAAATGTTGTATAGATAGTGTATAACTCTGCCCGTAATTCTCAGAATAGAAGATCTAGTAATAAGGGCTGGAATGTCATGAGGAAGTATGAATCCTTTTGAATATTGTGCCTTAGACATATAGATAGATAGATGATAGATAGATAGATAGATAGATCGATCTTCAAATAATTAAATAATGGAGACATTATCATTCAGTTCAGATATTTTTAAAAATGTATGCACTAACTGTAGAACTTTTGAAACATCTTTGTCCGCTTATTGATATTATAACTTTGCACTGAATATTTTTCTATTTTTCTTTCTTTCTTTTCTTCTTTTTACTGTTTTCTTTTTTCTTTCTTTCTTTTTCTTTCTTTCTTTCTTGTAGGTAGAATTTTCTTGCAAATAATTTGGTGTGATTGGATTAATCTGTTTTATGTTACCATGTTTATCCACCTGACATTATTAGAAAAATAACTATATTATCTCCTTGGAAAAACATTTAGGTTGTTCTCCAATCTGAGCATAATTACTGAATTAACTCATCCTGCCAACATGAGATTCATGCAGTTCCGGGCCAAAGACTGCTATTCTCTTGCTCTATCAAAATTAGAAAAGGTAAGAAAGCTTCATTGCATTATAATAAATATACGTAATTTATTGACACTCAGATGCAGTTGTTTTTGTTAATTTGCTCTGGAAACTGATAATTCAAAATGTTCTATGCTATAAAATTACAGATGGGAAACTAAAGAAAAATGGCCAAGAATGAGTCTGTAACAACTTCTTCCCCAAAGGTGAAATTATAGGAAAACAATCGGTAAATCTTGTCGTAGTGTTGGTGTGTGCAGGATTCTCTACTAGGCCTAATAAAAATCATCAGCTCTTTTCTGAGAACCTTTTAATCCCCATCATCATGCTGAGTTATTAAGTATTAATTCTGCCATTTTAAATACAGAGAATATCATGCCCACTGCAAATGAGAGTCAGTAAGCATATAGTAACTAAACTAAAACTGAAATGGTCAAAATAAATGGTGGAGCAATACTTTCCAACAGCAATTACAGCAGTTGTTGTTAGCAAACACCAAGCAAAAAATAAAGATAAGCTGAAACTATCCATTGTTGTATTTGTTTTAAATCATGATCAAATAATAAATTCTTATACTGCAAATAATCAGGAGAGATATAACATGATTCTTGTCTGAGCCCTGAAAGAAACCTTTGTTGAGGCAATGAGTATCTTCCACATACATAAAAGTGCATGTCGCTTTCAAAAAGAAAGTGAAAAGAATGTGCAAAATTTGCAGAATTAATGATACTGATAGTACAGCCTAAGTGTTGCAAATGAAACAGGTAATGCTGAGGTTTACTAAAAAATAACACCAACAGGAGACAACTTGATTACGAATATAAATTCAGTAGTTCAAGGATTTAAGTGGCAGAATTAGCACATGGTGCTAACTATAACAAAGTGGCTACTTAACAAGAAAGGATACTGTTTCTAATCAGCAGAAGCCAGTAGTACAGTACGCTTCCCTAGACAGAAATTCTTCCCTTATTCTGGAAAGCAAATGATGCACACATTCTATACGGTGCTAGAATTAGACCTTTAAGAAATTAATCTTATTGGACCCCTGCAGGTGGAAATACAAAAGAGCATAATTTTGTAGTTGTAGGAACTAAAATTAATCTTTCAAATTCCACTTACATTAGCTAAGTTGATTACAGTAATCTGAGTTTGGTAAATCAAACTTTTAACAGTTCTGTGGTATTGTCACCACATAGATAGAAGGCTGCCCTTGAAGGGTATCTGAAAGCTTTAGCTGGTACAGAATACAGCAGCACAAATAGATTCTAGTTGATTATATTACATGTACTACCTCTGCTCTTTGAGCTGCATTGGTTGCCAATCAGTTTCCAGTCCAATTCAAGGTGCTAGTTTTGATCTTTAAAGCCCTACATGGCATGGGACTAGGTTATTGGAAGGATAGCCTCTCCCGATTACATATGCCATCCCACCAGATCCAGCAGACAGGATATGTCACCAACTGTAGTGCTATGCCTGAAGTGTCAAGGTAGTGAGTGTTCTCTGTTTGGGCATCTGCTTCATGGATTATACTCCATCCTTCCTCCTATTCATGTCTTCAAAGTGAGGCTGACTTCATCCCTCAAGACCTGGTTGTGCCATCAGGTTTGGGGAACCTCAAGGAAATATTGAAGTGGCTCTACTGTTGTTAATATCTCTTCTTTGCATACTCTTTATTCCTTTTTAGCTTGATGTTTTCTATAATTTTAGAGCTTTTAATAATAGTAATAATACCCTTGTTTGTAAATATTCACAGTGTTTTAGCTTTGTTGTATGCTGCTCAGAGTCACTTGTTTGTGACATTGGCAGCTATATAAATATGAACAATAAATAAATAGTAGTAATGTTAAAAAATAACCCTGGGATCTGCTCTTATTAATTAGTGATAACAAACTAAACCAATTTACTACCATAGTGAAAAATAAATAAAGATACTTTAGCTATAAATGTTAGAAAATAATGATTAACTTTCTTGTTTGCTTATCTCCGTGGATATGTCAGAACTTGGGAGATCCAGATGTTTTACATCTATCAAGTTTTTACATCTATCAAGTCTGTGTAATAACAGTTAATAAAAGTGTCTAGATGGCCCTTATTGTACTTGTCAGGTTTAAAGTATCCAGTAATATCCACTCCCTTCCCTCCCAGCAGAAATTATAAACAGATTAATACCAAATTAGTAATCTATATACTGATGTTATTGGACTTCTATTGTAAAACATTGTCTAATGTACCAAGAGACTTCAATGCCTTTTCTTCAGCTAAGCAAAATGTTGGTAGAGAGTGATGGAAAGGGATAAAATATATTCTAGTCTTGTCAGGAAACGATTATAATTAAGAATGTTTACTGAGTCAAAATTATTAGTGATGTAATACTAAGGACATAGAGTTAACAAAGACCATGTAATGTTAAGCATTTTTTGAAAAGTCAGAGTACATAGATTTAATAATTGTCCATCCTTACCAGTGGATCTTTTTCATTTAAAAGATAGTATAAAGCATTAGCAAGAACAAAACAAGAATAGATTGTCATATTGAAGCTTTTAGAAAGATACCTTTAAATAACCTCAGACAGAACCCTGTGCTATTCCTGAGATAACGTTGGATGCATTGCTTAAATGGATTCTAGTCACATTTACTAAGTTCACAAAATGATATACCAAATGAAAATGGCAAATTTCCAGGCAGAGAACATACAGCTTCTGAGCTGAATAAAAGAAATGATGGCTATTCAGACTCAGTTTTAGATATAAATGAATAAAACAACACATCTTCTTGAAGAGATACTACCTGTTATTTTCTCCATTCATAAGAATGGAACCATGTCTAGCCCTTCCTATTATCCATCAATCAGTTTAAGTACAGTTTCTACATTTATGCTGGGAATCTTATTTGGAGATAATTATGGTAAATTTGAAAACATTTTAGAAGATGAGTAGGCTGGCTTCAGAGAAGGAAAATCAACTCTTAATGTACATTGTACCAGGTGGTTGAAAATATGGCCAAATCCAGTCATAAACTTCATGGGCATTTTATTGACTGAACTCAGCCTTTGACACAAATTCTAAAAATAGATTTTGATATAAACTCTGGCCTTTTACAATTGATACATCTTCTGCTCTGAAATTTCTATAAAAACGCACCCCTTCAAATAACAATTATTTATAACAGCTGATTAGGTTTACTCCAACTTTGAAAAGGATTAAATAGAGTTTTATTCAAAACAGTTTTGATCTTCCAAACTGGCTAATTTTACTTCCAGGACATTCATCTGATTTAGACTGGGGAGAAACAATTATTTAACTGCATCTCCCAGCTTGAATCCTCTCCATCCACAAAAGATGACTGTAGCTTTATAATATAATGTATTGTAATATAATAATATAATGTGTAATATAATCACCCATCATTTTAGCCTTTTTATTCACAATTTATATGTGCGTTTCTCTGTACTTCTATCAGCCTTCTTGAAGAAACCTTCACATAGGCAGATGTTATCTTCTCAAATGGTGCCAATAAGATTAAACTAATAATCCATGTGCTGTTACAATGATTGTAATGGAGAAATATTTTATTCAAAGGATCACATCTCTCTTAGCTAAGACACCAGGAATGACTAAAGCCTATTATCTGTAACATATATCAAATTTTTGCTAAATATTCAATGTCCAAAAGACAGAATTTTCTTCTGAAACATGGTCAGTATATAAATTGATTATATGTGAATGATATGTGCTGCCTCTCTGTGTTACATATACAATATGAATTAATTATTGAAATAAGCTGCTTACTTTAAAATATTGCCATAATAGCAACTAACCAATATAAATAATTTCTTAATAGTGAGCAAAAGAATGGTGTCCATTACTATACATTAATATTTGCAGATGTTAGCTTTGTTTTTCAAATTCTAGGAGAAATGTGATATGCTGATGTGAGTTTTTAATGCAACAATTTGAATGTAAATGTATTAACTTTGTTGGCATATCAGCATATTTTAAATATAGAATTGGATCCTTGATAAGATCATCTCTGATATTTCATGAACTGTCAATGATCTAATATTGATTTCTGCACTGTACTGTGAAATAAAAAGTACCATTACTTCCAGCCAACAAATATTGCCAGTATACCAATTTATGAAATACTTAAAACACACATACTTTAATACATGTATTTAGCTCTCTTCATAGAGACCATAGAAATAAGCTTTCTTTCATGACAATTTGTACACTACTATTTGTTTTATCTCTACGAGTTTTTAAGGTTAGCCCAATCGTGTATTTTCAAGAGGCAACTGGACTTTCTGTTTTTCTTTGAAGACATTTCACTTCTTATCCAAGCTCTGGCTGGCTGGCTGGTGGGGAATGGAAGGATTTATGCTCCTTGCAGACAGCTGGTCATTTGGAAGGAGTATAAATCCTTCCATTCCCCACCAGCCAGCCAGAGCTAAAGAAGCTTCTTGGATGAGAAGCGAAATGTCTCCAAAGAAAAACCAGAAAGTCCTGTTGCCTCTTCAAAAAGCACCTTTGGAACAACACATATCCTTAAAATTAAATAGCAAGACTTGCATTTGGTGGAGATACTGATTATCCTCTAAAGCATTACCTGGGTAATTTCAAGGAAAAGGATTTTTGTCTGATCCCATGCATTTTTATTAATCATGCATTTCCCCTTTTTGGTTGTTTTGGTGATTAGGTTGTTTGTAATCTTTTAAAAAGGTATAATCCAGCTGGAGAATCCCAGTTAATTTTTTAAAAAATTGAAAGTATAATTAAGACTGATAATGTATCACTGTTACTCAAGAAGTTCTCAAAATCACTTTGGGGGATTAAACACTTATTTGTTTCATGCAAACTTATTCTGGAATTAAACAAAGTGTACCACCTATTTAAACAACCCCCACCCCTTTTAAGGGTTTTATTTGTGTGGTCCACAAAGATGAAAACCTCCGATGGGTCAATTTAAAAGAAAAAAAGAATGACATGGCCATAGGTGTATATTATAGGCCGCCCAATCAAGCAGAAAAT